GTATTTTTCGAGTATACAGTTATTAAGTTCAATTAGCGAGCTAGTAGAGATATAGGCGTTAGTCCGATATATATATATTCAATTATACTATTAATCTAATATTATTATGTAGTTAAGTTTTTATATACTTAGCTCAATCTCCAGGTATCACACATACTCCAATCTACGTTACTCATGGTGATGCATTATAGATATGAATTATTTATGCAAGACAGCTAATTATAATTACATACTCATTATTTAGATCATTATTAAACAAATTATTGACTAGTCATACATCTATTAGCTTTCGTATTAATGCATTAAATTACGTAACTCGAACATCATTATTAACAATTTTCGTAAAATACTGCGCGATGAAACATAACTCAAGTTGCATATCATACTTAATACTTATCGTAGTGCAGATATTAAATTGCTCTTGTCATAGTTATATTCATTATCATATAGAATAATTTATCAGCATTAGCCATTATTAGCATTATTTTATATACAGTGATCGATACATCATGTCACAGTAAATGAATTGATTATCGTCAATTTCGTACCACACGTAATGGCATGCTTATAATTTAACTGATTTCTATTACTTTCTGACTTAAGATTTCATTTCTATTATCATAGTCCTAATTCGATAATAATGGTAACAATATCGCCTAGTGATGTAATACCGCAGGTTATCATCATTCACAGAGTCAGGAACAATTGACTGGAATATTAGAGCAGATATGAACGTGTACAGGAACATTGTATATTCGCAAGTTCTCAAGTCGCCAGTTGCAAGTTCTGTCTGAAATCATCATCCAATCAATCAAAGAAAGAGAAAGGAAAAAAAAAACTACTTTAACGTTATCGATTATGTAATCCTATTCTTGTACTCGTGTACTGTCAGATACCTTAGAGATCAGCTTTAGAGCGCTAACGAAGACACAACAAACACATCAATATCGCACCCGGAGCATCCATGACAAAGGTTTAGTCGAGAGAACGTCACACAAGCCCTGATTGATACTCGCTCCGCAATCAAAACAGCATTCTAATATCACATTCTAATACATTTGCTAACTTACTTTACAATGTTTAATGACAACACGGCAACCACTAACCAACACATCACACACCTACATAAACAGAACAAGTACGGTCGTACTTTATCCTTACTATTATGGTGAGTTTTTTTTTTTTTTTATTATCATCTACTCATTATATCATATTTCATCTACACAAGTCCTAACGTAAGCGAAATCGAGTAAGCAAAACACGGTACAATAGTTCTTCATCTATAACACAGCAAGTCGAATGACAGTTGCAACTGCACAACAAAGTCTAAAAAGTTAGGGATTATAAACTCGACTTAACGTCTGTAATATAGGAGGTATTGTTATTACCTTATTGCGGATTAGTCAGTAATGTCTAGTTCTGATTGTAGGTGGACATTGCATCAATCTTGAATTTTTTATCACTGTCATTATCATTATTATTGTTAGTATTATTCGAGTTAGTCTATTATATTTATAATTATTTATCTTCACTTCTGTTATTTACTTAATTTAATTATGGATCTATTAAGTTAATTGATTATATATATTATTATTATTTATTTATAATCATCATATAATGTTGTATTATAATGATAGTATCAGATTATTTATATTATCATTGAATCTTAAATTTCATTATTTTGTGGCATGACATTATTAATTATTATCTGTTAACAGCAGATAAATCAGTTAACATGTATATCATGTAAGATGTCATGTTATTATGATTGTTTTATCTTATAATGATAAATAATTGTAATTCATATATCATCATACACATTTATGTTATGTATGAATTAACATCTCAACTATTGGCTCAAATATACCTGTTATAAATATCGATTCGATATTATTATACCATAATTCATATATTTGTTTATAATATTTTTATTATATCAATTCTATATATATTAGTGTCATATATATCCATGCATCGTACATCATTATTTACAATCATCATTACATCATCCATTAGTTCATTAATAATTATTATAATTAAATAATCTTTATATATCGATCATGATATAACAGTATATTCATCTTTTATTAATTAATTAACAATTATGTCCATTACGTCATCATCATCTACCATCATAGTACATCATGAACAAATCATATTATCATCATTTTATCATCATCAATCACATTCGCATCAATATCATATTATATAATTATCACTCATCACAATCATTTATTAATCAATCATATCACTCATTGATAGAGCATACATTGAATGACTTTTCATATGTATAAGTACCATACATATCACTCATTATTATCCTAATTTACGATTATCATTGGTTATGCAATTTCCTATCATCTACATAACAATTCTCTCTGTTCATCGCACTTCTCCTTCCGGCCACCACATCTATTAACGCATACAGTCATGTTCGAAGATGCAGACACAGAACCAGTACTGCTCCATTGTCATGATAAATATTAGAATTCGGTTGAATAGTGGTCATAACAATGAAATACAAACCAGAAATGTAGGAGGGAATGAAGAGGAACTAAAAAGAATAAATAGCATACAAAAACGATTGTCTCTTAAGAAAGATTAGATTTAGACGCATGTTCATGATATTTTACAAATTCTCATGTTACAACACGGTTAGATGATTATAGAAAAGATAAAGAAGAGGAGGGTAAGGTTAGAATGTACGAACTGGATCGAAGGAAGGAGACGAGAGAGTAGCAGCTAGCAGCGAGACATTGAAAAGTAGCATGGACTGTTTAGCGTAAGCGTATTGGCCTAGACTTTTTTTCCACTAGAGTTATTATACATGTAGTCGAGTATAATGGATTGTATAGGATACTACAGTGTTATGTTAGTAATAGGTGATATGTGATAAGGTAGTAGCTGAATAGTAGATATAGTAAGGAAGAATGAAGGAGTGAGAAGATAAGAGAGAGGAGGATAAGACATGAAGTAAGGAGGAGGATGAGATAGGAGAGTAGAGTGAGGTAGAGTAATGAGAGAGAAGAGGAAGAAAGAGAGAAGGCACACACAGAAAGGACACAAGGAGAGCCAAACGAACACGACACAGGAAAACGAAGAACGAACACACACACGGACACAACACAACGACACACACAATGTATATAGAGTGAATAGAGACTGAAGAGAGAAAGAGAGTAAAAAAGATAAGAAGAAGAAGATAGAGGTAAGAGTAAGTAATATAATAATAAATATGCGAGTGGTGTGTGATGTAGGTGTGATGTGTGTGAAATTGATGAAAAGATATTGTATAAGAAGAAGAATTAGATGAGATGTAGGTATGTGTATAATAAATATGTATATAATGAATAATAAATAAATATAAGAGAAAGAGGAAAAGAAAGCGTAAGGAATGAGCATAGAGTATAGATAAGAAGAGAAGTAAGAGAGAGAGACTGGAGAAAGGAGTAGATGGATAGAGAGAAGGAGTATATAGAGATAGAGTGATAGAGTGTAGTGGTAGGAGTGTGAAGTAGCTGTGCGATGAGCGTGATGACGTGTAGTTAGTGCGTGTGCGTATGTGATGCGTATGGACGATGTGGTCGCAGCGTAGTGTGTGTTGTGTGTGTGTGTGTGTGTGTGGGGGTGGTGTGTGTTGTGTGTGATGTGTAATGTACATGTAATAGATGGGTAGATATGTATTATATACACAATTATTTGTTTATGTGCGTGTGTCTGCATATAGGTGTGTCAAGGAGAATATTATAGCAAATGTTATAAGCTAAGGCAAATAGACTTAGCACTTATTACATGTGTTAGTAATGTTAGTAATTATGCCTTGATTGTCAGGAATAGTCCAGAGTTCGTCTGATTTATAATATATGAATGAGTTCTTGCGACTGAATAGGAGAATGACATGCACTGTGACTCAGAGCAGACCAACAAACAGCAGAAAAAAGATAATTGTCAAGGTATGTTGTATCCTTGTTATTTTCTTTTATACATATGTATATAATGTGTATATATATGTATATATAATAATATATATGCAATGTATACATACATATATATATAACAATATATATATGCAATATAATAATATAATATAATATATATACATATATAAATACAATTATAATAATATATATATATAAATATTATATATATATATATATTACATAATACATATATATACATAATATATACATATATATATATATATATATACATTATATATATAATATAATATACATATATATATATATATATACATATATATATTAATATAATATATATATACATATATATAATTTACAACATTGATATCCTGGTAAACGTACGTAAAGAACATTCAGCCTATATCTTGCCGTAGCTCTGGTATTTTTTATTGAAAAAATGGTGCGTATGTAGACAATCAAAATTCTATCATTATCATTAAAATTAACCTTTGAACGTTACTATCATATAAAAAAAATTACAAGATCAATATTCTTTGCTCTTTCATTTTTTTATCTGTATCCATTTCCATATCGACTAAGTATTGAGTTTCTTAAGACGGCAATACAGTGCAAAGCCCCTTGAAGTGGTCTTACTACTGGAATATCAAAGGGTAAGAAAATACATTATGCCCGCTCCCTTATTGACCCATAAATAATCTAGTATAGAGGTTATCAGCGCGGGAATGTACAGAATCATTAACGTTGTTTTGTTGTGGTTTCGGAGTAAATTTGGAAAGCGTTTTTTCCCTGTCTTTCTTTCTTTCTTTCTTTGTCTTTCTTTTTATTTGGGGGGGGGCTAGGTTTGTCAGCGTAGAAAATGGGGTGTGTCGTGACAATTATTTATGCATATATTATTGGTATTATTTTTGTACTCGAAAGACGTACATGCCTAAGGTACAATAATTACCATCATATATATTGCACGTGTGCAATGCGGTACAAATGTGTACAAAATATACAGACAATATTTGGGAAAAACACAAAATATCACATGGTTGACTACGGGCAAACTTCCAAACTTCGAGACATGTGGCACCCTTAAAAATTACAATGGCACCGTGCCAGTATACAAACATCTAAACAGCATCATTGAGTATATGATTTAACACGTCAATATTCTAAAAGACCATAAAAATATCCATTATTCTGTTTGTTCTTATAACATTCATTTTCTTAAAGACACGATATCTTTCTGTGCGTGTTTTAAAACCAGATTTTTCTAATACACAAAAAAAATACCTTCTACGCTACTCTGTCTTTCTATCTTTTTTCTATCGTAGTTCAAAATTCGTGCTCCATCTCGCCCCGGTTCTTATCGACGAGAACCACGGCCCAGTAGATCAAGCAGAAGAACACCAGCAGGAGGGCGTAGACGATTCGAGCGACGACGAGAGCAGGGAAGCGACGTCGAGGCTTGTTGGCGAGGTCGATCTCCTTGACCCTCGGCGAAGCGCGCACGCGTCGAGGCCAGCTCATCTCGACGTCGATGGCCACGTGGAATATCACCTGTTGGGGAGAGGGCCGGCTGGGTTATGGGGTGTAGGGCGGTGATGGTGTGGGTTGGGGGTTTGTCTGGGGGGGGGGGGGGAAGCGAGAAGTACTGGTATTGGTCAAGAATTTGTTGTCTTGCAAAAAGGAAAGAAAAAATAAGGTATTGTCATTAAGGATGTTGAGGTTCTCCCCCATTGCACCCACCCTAAAGAAATAATAGTGAAGAATGAGCCCAAAGAAATGGAATAGTGAAAGAATGAGCCAAAGAGAAAATGAAATAAGTGAATAGAATGAGCCAAAGAAATGAATAGTGAAAAATGAGCCAAAGAAATGAATAGTGAAAAATGAGCCAAAGAAATGAATAAATGAGTAGGTGAATAGCATGAGTGTTTTTTCCTGTCGAATCCTTAGTTCATTTTCAAACAGCATAACTAGAATCAAGAAAATTTTCATTCCCATAAACTACTTTATACCATGAAGATCTCCCCTTCCCCTTCCTCAAAAACAACCGAGCCATGCGAGAAATATGAATGTAATCGCGAAGAAGCACCAGACATCAACCGCCTTGGTGTACGAGGTCCTCGGCAGGCCATCCGAGATCTGCGGTAAGAAGGGGGCGAGAACGAGCAGTGCGAACGTGATGGCCATCATGACCCTCAGATCCCGATTGTCCCGCTTGCAGAAGAGGGACGCGTAACTAATGAGCATGAGCATGATGGTGGGCAGGTAGGCCGACGTCAGGTAGTACCAGTAGCGACGGTAGAAGATCATGCCGACGACCGCCACGCTGTACTCGTCCTCCTCCCGCCGCTGTATCGTCATGTCTCCGACTTCGTATTCTGTTAGCAGTCTCTGCGAAGATGCGTTCGTGTTCGAGGGATTTTTTTAAAGGTATTAGTTAAGTTTGACTTGTAGCGATTGGGTGAATTTTTTTTTTTCTGTCTTTCTTTGATTGTAATGGTTTTCTGACTGTACAAACAATAGATCTTTCAAACCTGCATTGTCATGGAATACGAAATGAAGAAGCAATGATCTTAGAAGGAGAAAAAGGACCTTCCATAAGGACTCGTACCTCCCCAAGATACTGGACTGTGAGGTCGCTCCACCGTAGGAATTCCTCGCGGGCGGAGGTGATTCTGATCAACAGCTTGCAATGCTGAGTGTCGAAGGGGAAATTCTGCAGGTCCATCGCGCACGAAAAGGGGGCGTTGATCTTCTGGGTAAGTCGCAGAGGGTTCTTTGAGCCTTCGTATATTTCATCTGGAAATTAGAATGCATTGCGCTAAGAAAATATTCACAGAAAGATGCTCTCTGTTCTAGAAATCCTTGGTAGCTAAAACTAGGGTCACACTAGTCTAAATCAGCTGACCAATCAAAAGCTGCAGCTGGCCAGACCGGCGAGGCTGTCTAGGGATCCCAGGTCAGAGAAGACTAGTGTGAAATAACTTATAATCATCATCAGAAAAATCATTATAATCATCTTTAATATAATCGTTATCAAAACTGAGTCAATAAGAGGAGGATATCTAATTGCCCAAAACTCGCTTCATCCCAAGTAATTCAATTAGCTGCCTTGTTTCCGTGCAATTAGTTGTGTACATTCAACACGACCACTTTGCTTAATAACGAGTGACTCACCTCCAGGGTAATGGACAATTTTCATCAACACCTTTGCATGGGAAGTGCATGCTTTCAGCCAATTTATATGTCTCATTTTACATAACACTAGCAAGCAATTGGCTAGTATTAATGGTGCATTGTATAGAACGGAAGAACCACTTATCTCTTATGCAAAGGTTAACAATACTGGAAGTTCAATTTGGTGAATTGAAAAATGGATGAATTCGTTCAGCCATTCTGTATGTTTGTATTTACTTTTTGTTTTGCATGCCAGTTTAGTTTACAGAAAGAAAAATGCATATCTGTATTAATTTTAAATTTGAAGAACAATGAAATAAATATATATATATATATATTATATATATATAATATATATATATATGTATGTGTGTGTGGGTGTGTGAATACTCTTAAAGACACAGTACTTGTATGAGGAATAACTTTTGCCTCTTGACGCATACAAGAAGTTACATTTCACCTTAACTAAAGAATTCTGTCGTTTAGCTAAAGTGAAACGTACTTTCTTGCAGAAATTCCAAACATATAAATACCAAATATAGTTAAAGAAGATAACCATAATCGAAATGTCATATAAATATCTTACATGTTATACCTTTACTGACTTTCGAAAGAGATTGATTGCTCTCCGAATAGACAGATAAATTGATGGCAAGAGCAATGACGATTATCACTATTTTCTTCGCCTTCCTGATTTTTTAAAAGAATATTTGTTATTTCATTCCTTTCTATCTCCCTCTCTTTCTTACTCCCTCTCCTTCTCCCCCTCTCTCTCTCCGTCTCTTCCTTTCGCTCCTCCTTTTTCTCTCTCTCATTCTCTTACTCTCCCTCTCTACCTCTCTTCCTCTAATCCTCTGTCCCTCTTTTCCTTAATCTCTCTCCCTCTCTCCCTCCTTTCCTTCTCCGTCCCATCTTCCCTCCGTTCCTTCCTCCCTCTTTCCTTCCTTCCCTCTCTTGCCTTCTCCCTCTATCCTTCCTTCCTTCTCTCTCCCTTTCCCTTTCTCCCCCTCCTACTATCCCTCTCACTCCTCTTTCCTTCCTCCCCTTTCTCCCCACCTACCTATCCCTCTCACTCCCTCTTCCTTCCTTCCCTTTCTCCCCCTCCTCCTCTCCTACTCTCCCTCCCTCCTCCTTCCTCCTTCCTTCCCTCCCTCCCTCCCTCCCTCCCTCCCTCCCTCCCTCCTCCCTCCCTCCCTCCCTCCCTCCTCCCTCCTCCCTCCCTCCCTCCTCCCTCCTTCCCTCCTCCCTCCCTCCCTCACCATGGGCGATCCTTGAAGGGTCATCCTCCTCGGGCGATGAGGAGCGGGCCACAGTGAGGACCTCCTGCCTCCCTCCCTCCCTCCCTCCTCCCTCCTTCCCTCCTTCCCTCCCCTCCCTCCCTCCCTCCCTCCCTTCCCTCCCTCCCTCACCATGGGCGATCCTTGAAGGGTCATCCTCCTCGGCGATGAGGAGCGGGCCACAGTGAGGACCTCCTGCGTCTTGTAGATCCTCGGGAAATCCGCGTTCACGAATTCCACTGTCGGAGTCCACACCGAGGTCGGCTGTCGGGTGGGGGGGGGGTGGGGGAGAAAGGGGTCACGGTATCAGGTTCTGGGGTTTTAAACGAGGGTTTCGTGTGTTGTGGGGTTTCTAAACATGGGTTTGTGTGGTCTGTTTTGTACTTTGTGTGTGTGTGTGTTGATAGTTTGAGGCTTTGACATGTATTGATTTTGAAAGCATGTTTTTTTTATTTATCTATTATCATTAGTGTTTTTTTTATTGGTATTATCTTTGCTGTCCTTATTATCACTACTGTTATTGTCATTATCATCAGCCACCATCATCTAAAATACTATTCCAACATAGTAAAAGAAAAAACAAGAATATGAACAATTCGTCACTCACATCCATGTAGTTGAGGTCAACGAGAGGCTTCAGGTTCTGGTAGCGGACGCGGAGGTCATGCCAGGAGATGGTCGTCGAGAAGTCCACCGTCAGTTTCATGTCCCGGATGTCCACCTGTTGGGAGGGAAAATGGGGGGGAGGGGGTGGATTGGGGTGACGTTTTTTTGGGGGGAGGAAGAGAGAGGGATAGGAAGGGTGAGGGAGGGAGAGAGGAAGGCAGAGAGAGGGAAGAAGGGTAAGGGAGGGGGGGGAGAGAGAGAGAGAGAGGAAGCCAGAAAGAGAGAGGGTGAACGAGAGAGTGAGTGAGTGAGTGAGCGAAAGAGAGAAGGGAGAGAAAGGAAGGAAGAGGGAGAAAGCGAGAGATAAAGAGAAAGAGAGAAAGTAAGCGAAAGAAAAAAGAGAGGAGGAACAATGCAATGCACGCAGAAAAAAAATGAAATATCACCAACATCACATACAGTACAAAGAATATCTCACCCCTCCCCCCCCCCTCCCCCGGCTCCCTTACCTTCCCCTCCCCTACGTACCCTCCACACGCACCTACCTGCGAGAATCCCTGTATCCTGACGGTGATATTCAGACCCAGAGGACCCGGCTCGACTCCCGGCGGAGGAAGAGCAGGCAAGTAATCCTGCGGCAGAAGTAATTTCTCGCATCCTTTCTCGTCAGAATTATCGGGGCAGTTGACACGCAAATCACACCTCTCTGTCAGGTTAACACAAGCCCCATCCTCGCAGGTGAACTCCCAAGGATAACAAGCGGAGAGGGCAAGGGCGTGGAGGGATCCTGAAGGAGGGAAGTGCAAGAGAAATGAGAATTGAGTTGTTGACTGGTTACTCGAAAGGGTTGTGGTCCGGCTGGGGAGAAATGGGAAGGGGCGTGTGGTTGTCTTCTCATTCCTGGGATATTGAGACTGTTGTTGGTGGTGTTGCTGCTGTCATGGCTGTTGCTATTACTATTATTAGTGTTGTTTCTATTATTGTTATCATTGCTGCTGTTATCATTATTATTATTATTATTATTATTATTATTATTATTATTATCATTATTATTATTACTCTTACTTTTACTATTACTATTATTATTATCGGTCATTATTATCATCATCATCAGTATCATTATGATCACTCTCATCATGGTTGCTATTACCATTATTATTGTCATTGTTATAATAAATGCAATGCCATCATTATTTGTTACTATTATTATTACTATTATTAACATTATTGCTATTATTTTATCCCTAATACTACTATTATTACTATCATTACTATTATCATCATTGTTGTCATTTTCATCATTGTTATTAATGTTGATATGATTAATATTACTATTGTTGCGTCACAATATGTTTTTAAAGATATACTTTTTGCGATTTTGAAAAAAAAAGAAATGCAATGCCCATCAACTGATATCATTTCACTGAACTAATAAATACCCGATTTCTTACCATCTTTACCAGTAACCAAACCAATAACCATTAGTCTCTCAAAATAACCCATTATCAGTAAAAAAAAAAAAAAAAAAAAAAAAAAAAAAAAAAAAAAAACAATATTACAACACAGATAATGAATCATATCATCATTATCACAAAACTCATCACCATTATTACCACTTACGTACCTTTAGGCTTCTCACAAATATCGTAGTTGGTGGTTGTAGTCCAGTTGTGAGTCCCGAATGGCAGTCCCCCGTTGTAAGTGAAATAGGAAGCGACCGTTTCCCTTGTCCACATGTTGATGAGACTCCAGGTCGAGTTCTTGTCGTAGAAGATGTAGTATTTAGTGAAGCCCCTGCAATTTTTGGGTGTTTTTGAGTCTTTTAGTAAGTGTGTCATTATCGTTATTGGGTAGTTATTTTTTGTATGGTTATATGATTATTGTTTTGTTATTGTAATCATTATCGGTTCGTTATCATTATCGTTATAGTTATTAGGATTAGGATTAGTATTAATATTAGCTATTACTAACGAAGAACAAAACTTGTCCAGTGTCTTGACGACAGAATAACAAATAACCATTGATCTTAATTTACCCCCCCCCCATACCCCGAACCTTTTACGTATTCATATACGAGCCAGCACAAATTGGGTGCAATAAAAAACAGATGATTGAGGACCCAAAATACCTTCAAAGAAAACGGGCAAGCTAATTAAGGGCTAATTCATACGAACAAAGAAAACTAAAATTTGAGGGCTAACTCACTTAAAATTTGGTCTGTCGCCTTGGTCTCGCTCTATCCTGAACCAAGCTCCCTTCTCGTCATCTTCACAGAGACCTCGCATCTTCAGCACGACTGGCTCGAGCTCCTGACAGGTTACACAGAAGTGGTAGGTGTTCCCGCACGACATGTCATCCCACACTTCACGATAGGGAGGAACCAGCATGGCTGAACAGTCCTTGCTCGAAGTGCGAGCTGTGCCTTCGAAGTTTGTGTAGTTCAGAGGAACGTTCTGGGTGAATATGGGGGGAGGGGAGAAGTAAAATGATTTTGTACTTCTACTACGACAACTACTTCTACTATTTCTACTTCTACTACTACTTCTACTAAAACTATTTCTATAACTATTATGACTATTACTTTTACTACTACTGATGCTACTACTATTATTGCTGCTATTACTACTACCACTACTATTATTACTACAGCTACAACTATTGATACAACCACTACTATTACTACAAGCAATGCTACTACAACAACCACTACTATTACTATAACCACTACTACAACTACTACACCCACTATCACTATAACAACTTAACAAGCTATCCTAACTGCAACACCATGGTTAAAAATAACAAAGACTTCTCACAACGAATACTCACCTTTTCATCCATCCACAGTCCCTCTTCCACCTCGTCCTTGGCACCGAGCCAGAAAAAGCCCTTGTTGTGGTTGGGCGGTTGGCACTGCTCAGCCAGGCCCTCGATTGCTTCGTACAGCACCTGGTTTTCCTCTGGGTTCTCAGGAATCGTCATCCGGGTCTTAAGATGGCGGCAGAAGTTCCACGCGTCTTGGAATGGCATCCGCTTCCCGAAGACCGAGAAATCGAATCTGGAAAGCGGATTTTGTTGGTTTGTTTATCTGTTTATCTTTGTCTGTCTGTGTGTTTCTCTTATTCTCTCTCTATCTCATTCTCTCTCTCTCTCTTATTCTCTCTCTTATTCTCTCTCTTATTCTCTCTCTCTCTCTCTCTCTCTCTCTCTCTCTCTCTCTCTCTCTCTCTCTCTCTCTCTCTCTCTCTCTCTCTCTCTCTCTCTCTCTATCTATCTATCTATCTATCTATCTCTCGTTTTAGATTGTTGAGTACAGAGAATATTAGCACTGGAGACATTTTGTTGATTCACTGTATCACAAAACACACACACACACACACACACACACACACACACACACACACACAACACACACACACACACACACACATATATATATATATATATATATATATATATATATATATATATATATATGCATATATTTATGTGTGTGTGTGCGCGCGCGTTTGAATCAGTCTGTGTCTGTTTTATAGAACACTAACAGACCTCTGAGGATTGCAGTAGTCAGAGGGCTGCACCTCCACCATCTTCACCAGCCCCTCGGAGGCAGCCACTGGGTTGATTAGCCACGAAGACGCGCTCCAGGCCACTAGGTCCCCCTCGGGCACACCGCCGGAGCAGTTCGCAAGGGCGTGCACCTCCTCCAGGCTCAGCGCTCGGGAGTATAGGCTGAAAGAATACGGTTATCAGAGGCCATGTTGTTATATTTGTGTTGTTGCTTATGCTGGTATTATTTCGTTTTGTAATGATCAGTTTGCAGCTGGGGTTTGTTATTAATTATGCTGTGATCTTTATTATGATTGACGTTGTCTCTGCTGCTGTTGTTACTATTAATATTATTACTATAGTCATCAAAATTATTATTTCCCTACTATTATTATTGTTACTACCACTGCTACCATTACTATTCCTATCGCTACAACCACTCCCACAACGACCACTATAGCAATAAGAGTAGCAACAGTACCTACTACAAGCTACTACGACTACTACGACTACTACGACTACTAATGAGCGTTGGTGTGTCTGCCTGCACTCACTTGAAGGCCGTGACGACCCCGGAGAAGGACTGCTCAGCCTGGAAACCTCCGCCGACCATGTCCGTCTCTTGGCCCAGTACGAGGGATCCGTTGGTGAGAATGTTTCTGTCTCTCATTTTCTCTCCGCTCGCCTGGCTGTGAGGAAAGGGTGGGGGGGGAGTGTGTGCTTTTTTTCTTGTTTGTTTGTTAGTGAGTTTTCTTTTAATTCATTTTTTCATCTGTTCATTTGTTTGTTTGTTTTTTTCTCTCGGTCTCTCTCTCTCTCTCTCTCTCTCTCTCTCTCTCTCTCTCTCTCTCTCTCTCTCTCTCTCTCTCTCTCTCTCTCTCTCTCTCTCTCTCTCTCTCTCTCTCTCCTCTCTCTCTCTCTCTCTCTCTCTCTCTCTCTCTCTCTCTCTCTCTCTCTCTCTCTCTCTCTCTCTCTCTCTCCCTCTCTCCTCTCTCTGTATATACGCATGTACGTACGTATGTGTGTATTACCCTGCAAGCCTCCTTACCGCCACCGTTCCCTTACCCATTCAGATACACTGTTCCTTCCCCTGCCTTGGTATCGGCCGAAATGCACATGTGGTACCATCGTCTAGGGAAGATCAGTGTCTGGCTTTGTTCTGGGCTGTAGATGTAGTTTCCTCCGAGCACACCAAAGACACGGTCGGGCTCTGCAGAAAAAAGGAACAATGAAAGCTTTCTCGATGTGGAGTTGGTGTTATCTGTGATTTGAGGGCAGTGGATATACAGTCACAGATACATATATACATGCACACACACACGTACATATATGTGTGTGTGTGAGTGTGTGTGTGAGTGAGTGTTGTGTGTGTGTGTGTGTGAGTGTGTGAGTGTGTGTGTGTGTGTTGTGAAGGTGGGTGCTAAGAATCACATGAGATTGAGCTGCATATGTCTCTGTTTTATATACTAAAACATTACCAGCCGTTGCGTGTTCTTCATAAAATTGAAAGCAATTTCTTCTTGACGAACACCACACCCAACAAAAAATGGCTTTTAATATTTCATTTACTTCGCTAGTTGTTCCTCACAATCACCACATAATGTCTTTATTAATAAAAAGGAAAATAATCACTAACGTTATCATTCTTTTATTTTAGCATTATCAATACCATTATCTTTATCATCATGGTTGTTGTCGTTGTCAGTATTGTTATCAATATACCCTTCATACTTATCCTTTTCATTGCATTATTATCAACATCATCCTTATCAGTAATGACAGTGGCGGTAGTACTATCTATGCTAATATCTTTTTTATTGTTATCCTTTGTTTTTCATTTTCATAATAAAGATTAATGTTATAACAGCTGTTGCTGCATTTTTTTATTGTTATTGTTATCTTTTCTGTTATTATTATCATTTTATAATCATCATTACTGTTATTAGTAGTAGTAGTAATAGTAGTTGTTGCTATTGTTATTGCAGCAGCAGCAGTAGTAATAGTAGTGGTAGTGGTGGTGGTGGTGGTGGTAGTAGGTGTACCACTATTATCATTATTGCCATTGCCATTATCGATATTTCTTTATTTATTATGATTTTCATTATTATTATTATTAGTTATTATTATTATTATCAGTATTGTTAATTATAATATTTTTGCGAAAAATATCATATTCCTTAATACGACTATCATCACTTTATCATTATTCTTATGATCACCAACCTTTTCCATATAATTGCCATTATTAGCAATATTAAAAATTAAAATAAAGATTGATTCAGAGCTTCCCTGTCATACGCATCATTTGTGACCTTCAAGCAAAAGTGTCATGCACGAATGAGGTCAAGGGAAAATTAGTGAAAGTGGTGAGAACAGCAAGGATGATAATGGTGATAATGGTAGCGATGATGATAATGATGTTGGTAGGGATAAAAGGTGGTACTTGTAATAAAAATGGA